TACCCTTGGACTTTTCTTCTCTCAGAGAAGAACAGTATAATGTGTCTTTTACACTTCAAGAACTAGAGGCAACGCTCTCAGCTTGCCGATCATCGGCAGCTGGGCCTAACGACATTCATATTCGTATGTTACAACATTTACATCGGTCAGCCCTTGTAGTCCTCTTACACCTCTTCAATATTATTTGGGCACAAGGAGTTCTTCCCCAGCTGTGGAAATCTGTCATTGTTCTCCCTTTCCGCAAACCGGGTACTACAGGACATGATGCCTCCCACTATCGTCCCATCGCTCTTACTAGTGCAGTTTGCAAAGTGATGGAACGTCTCGTAAATCGACGTTTAATGTGGTATTTAGAGACACACAACAGTCTCTCCGCTAGTCAATATGGCTTTCGTAAGGGTCGTTCTACCATAGACCCCTTACTACGCTTGGATACGTATGTTCGTAATGCCTTTGCGAATAATCACTCAGTTATTGCCATATTTTTTGACCTTGAGAAGGCATATGACACAACTTGGAGGTATAATATTTTGGCCCAGGCCCATTCCTTAGGCCTCCGAGGCAATCTACCATCCTTCCTTAAGAACTTTTTAACTGAGAGACATTTCCGTGTTCGAGTCAATAATGTTCTTTCCCCGGACTTCGTCCAAGCTGAAGGTGTCCCTCAGGGATGTGTTCTAAGCACAACACTTTTTCTCCTTGCTATAAATGATTTGGCCTCTGTTCTTCCACCCAATATTTGGTCATCACTCTATGTTGATGACTTCGCTATTGCTTGTGCAGGCGCTGACTGTCATCTTATTGCAGTTTCTCTCCAGCATGCGGTCGATCGTATTTCCACTTGGGCCACCACGCATGGGTTTAAATTTTCAAGTACCAAAACTCACAAAATTATTTTCACTAGACGCTCTGTTATCTCCGATCATCCTTTGTATCTCTATGGCTCCCGTATCCCCGAACGTAATACAGTCAGGTTTCTAGGCCTTCTCTTTGACCGTAGGTTATCCTGGAAACCTCACATTACCTCTCTGAAGGCAACTTGTCACAGCCGGCTAAACCTTCTTAAAACCCTTGCTCATCTTTCCTGGGGAGCTGATCGTCGAACTCTGCTTCGCCTACATTCAGCCCTCGTTTTATCGAAACTCGATTATGGTGACCAGATTTATTCCGCGGCCTCTCCTGCTACTCTCTCTAGCCTTAACTCTATCCATCACCAAGGATTACGTTTGTGCCTTGGTGCTTTTCGCTCTTCCCCTGTTGAGAGCCTCTATACAGAAGCGAATGATCCATCCTTGTCTGATCGCCGTGATGCCCATTGTTGCGGCCCCTGCCAAACTAGCGGTTAAATAGTTAACCTGCCGGCCGGCAGTACCACTGGGTGCGTCATCAAACCCAATGTGGGGGCTGCTGAGCCGGCCTTAGAGCAGTAAGAGCCTGAGTGCCTCACGGTACACACCTAAGCAGTAGGTACCTGACCACCGAAGGGTACACGTCTACTGGCTTTAGTAACAGTATGTACCAGAGCGCCTCGCTGTACACACCTAAGCAGTAGGTACCTGACCACCGAAGGGTACACGTCTACTGGCTTTAGAAATATTATGTACCTGAGCGCCTCGCTGTACACACCTAAGCAGTAGGTACCTGACCACCGAAGGGTACACGTCTACTGGCTTTAGTAACAGTATGTACCAGAGCGCCTCGCTGTACACACCTAAGCAGTAGGTACCTGACCACCGAAGGGTACACGTCTACTGGCTTTAGTAACAGTATGTACCAGAGCGCCTCGCTGTACACACCTAAGCAGTAGGTACCTGACCACCGAAGGGTACACGTCTACTGGCTTTAGTAACAGTATGTACCAGAGCGCCTCGCTGTACACACCTAAGCAGTAGGTACCTGACCACCGAAGGGTACACGTCTACTGGCTTTAGTAACAGTATGTACCAGAGCGCCTCGCTGTACACACCTAAGCAGTAGGTACCTGACCACCGAAGGGTACACGTCTACTGGCTTTAGAAATATTATGTACCTGAGCGCCTCGCTGTACACACCTAAGCAGTAGGTACCTGACCACCGAAGGGTACACGTCTACTGGCTTCAACATTAAGTACCTGAACTCCTCAGGGTACACGTCTATGCAGTAGGTACCTGACCACCGAATCGTACCTATCTACTGGCGTTAGAAGAACCGCTCACCGCAGCTCACTGAGTCTGTTGGCCTCAGTTACTTGACGGCCGCATTCAGTGAGCTTGCAGCATGGTGTTCGGCTAGCGGTGTGTCAACCGCCTTTGGAGAGGATTTACTGGACTACCGGTGATGTCTGTGGACTCACCGTCTACGTTGATCAACTGTGGGCCGGAGTCGTCAGATGCTGTTTAGTGGGACATTACATGAAGAAAAGGTTGGAGTGTTACACTGAACTGGGCCAGGACCGTAGTGTGACACTGAGGGACGTACGATGGAGTGGAACACTGAGATATGCACAGGACCGTAGTGGAACACTGAGATGAAAAGGGTGTCGTGGGACACTGAAGATGGCCTGGTTGTAGTGTACACTGAACAGTGTCGTGTGACTGACTTCGTGTCGTGAGAGGCAGTTGATTGTAATTTATTATTATAAAAATGTTATTTATAATTTATTGTTTTAGCATAGAGATATATATATATAGTGACAGTAGTGTCAAGAGTTGTACCCTGTGTAGGGTTATTAATTATATTTTAGTAAAATGCTGATTATAATTTATTATAGTAACATGTACATATTATTATTATATCATAGTTCAAATACCTCTAGACCAAAGATAGTTGATTTTTATATATTAAAGATTAATTTATATTAATGTGTGTATTTATGTATCCCGAACTCTTTATTACAAAAGGAGTAAATCTTAATACCATCGTCTTTTAAAAATTACTTTTTTTGTAATACCCATTGCCTTCGCTACTATGTACGCTCTCACGATCTACACAATCCTTCCATTTATAGAATGGTCACCGATATTAGTAGACATTCTTTATTCGTTCGCCGCCCCTGTTTGCTCCGTCCCTTTTCTCTTCGCCTACATTCACTCTTGTCTTCCCTTCAGTTACCACCTTTATATGTTCATGTAGCATCTCACTTCCCCCCCCCCCTGGGAAGTTCCAGCTGTTCGGGTCTGTTCTTTCTCACTCCCTTGCTCGAAAGCTCAACTGCCTACGGTGGCTTCCCGCTCTCTTTTTCTTGATCACTTCCACTCCCATTCTCATGCCACCGCTGTGTACACAGATGGCTCTAAGTCTTCAGACGGCGTCGGATTCGCAGCAGTGTTTCCGGACAGCGTCGTGCGGGGGCATTTACTATCTTCAGCTAGCATTTTTACTGCTGAACTGTATGCCATTCTTGCAGCACTTATTCGTATCGCATCTATGCCTGTGTCATCATTTGTAGTAGTCTCAGACTCCCTTAGTGCTCTACAGGCTATACGAAAATTTGATACATCTCATCCCCTATTTCTCCGTATCCAACTTTGGCTACGCCGTATCTCTACGAAGCATAAAGATATTATTTTTTGTTGGGTCCCTGGTCATGTTGACGTACAGGGCAATGAACAGGCAGACACTGCTGCGCGGTCAGCAGTACATGACCTACCAATTTCCTATAGAGGTGTTCCATTTCTGGACTATTTTGCTACAATAGCTGCCCACCTTCGCGCCCGTTGGCAACAACGTTGGTCAACTCTGCTTGGTAACAAACTTCATTCTATTAAACCGAGCATAGGTTACTGGCCGTCTTCTTGTCATCAGTGCCGTGGTTGGGAGACCACTCTCTCCCGTCTTCGCATTGGCCACACTCGTCTTACTCATGGGTATCTCATGTAGAGGCACCCTGTACCTCTCTGTGAGCAGTGTCAAGTTCCAGTATCGATTAGCCACATTCTGTTAGACTGCCCTCTCTATCAACGAGCACGCAGAATTTACCTCCAACGCCGTCTTCGTTCTACTACTCTCTCTTTACCTTCCCTTCTTGCTGATGGACCCTCCTTTAATCCTGACTCTCTCATTGACTTCTTGACAACGACTGATTTACTCCACAAACTCTGATGATGATACCTTACGCACTCCCCTCAGCCCTTTCTAGCTCAGTCTCTTGCTGCCCTTTACCCTTTCACCATCCACTGCTCCGCTGTTATCCGTAACCCATTACTCATCCACCTCCCTTTTGCCACCTGATGCCCTCGCTTCCTTCCTGCCCTGCAGCGCTGTATAGCCCTTGTGGCTTAGCGCTTCTTTTTGATTATAATAATAATGTAGTTGTAAAGGTCGAACCATAGCTCTTGGCCCCGTCTCTTTACTGGTCGCTATTAGGTCCACTCTCTCCCTACCCCATGAGCTTTATCATGTGATTGTGTGTGTGTGTGTGTGTGTCTTCAGCAGGTGGTTCACTTACTAACTAGCTCACAACTTGTCCAATACCCCTGCCAAGCTACCCAAGTTTTAGACTCTATAACCCCACCCGGTAGATCATCAGGTGCAGCATTCTCCACCTGACCTCAACATTCTGAACTTGACTATAAATACTCACGTACCTTCCACCCCAGATAGATCTGTTTGTGACTTGAAAAAGCGCACTGTGTGGGCGAAACGTTGTCAATAAAGGATCACATTAAACTTCATATGTGTTTGTTTCCAGGTGGTTCTCCTCGCTAATCAGCTGTGTGTGTGTGCCTCCGGCAGGTGGCTCACCTCACTAGTCAGCTGTATATATGTATGTCTTTGGCAGGTGGCCGTATGTGTATGCCTCTAGCAGGTGGTTAACCTCCACTATCCAGCTCTCTCAGGCAAGTGGTTCACCTCGCTAATTAGTTGTACGTGCGTCTCCGACAGGTGAGGCTCACCTTTCTTACCGACTGTATGCGTCTCAGGCAGGTGGTTCAACACCACTATTGGTATGTCCAGCAAGTGATGCCCCTATGTGTGCCTCTGGCATGTGGTTCATCTCACTAACCTGTGTCTCCTGCAGGTGGTTCATGCTGAGGGCAGCGATGAGTGGACGCTAGTGGTCCGCTACTCCCAGCTGAGGGACGCGGGAGTATACGAGTGCCAGATCAACACTGAACCTAAACTCTCCCGTCACGTCAAGCTCCGAGTCCACGGTAAGGTTCTCGGTACACTAAACCCCATGTAAACACAGGGAGTCTTTACATTTTAAATCCCTGAGCTCAGGGTTCACACCTCGCCTTGCCAAGGCTACAAGCAGGTCCAGAGTTCAATACTGTATTATTAAGACTATCATTGCTAAAGGTGTGCCTCTGTACCTGGAGTTTTCCTGGAGAGGGTTTCGGGGGTCAACGCCTCCGCGGCCCGGTTGGAGACCAGAATATGATTTTTAAAGAAATTACTAAAATGGTTACCTGTGGCCCTTTAATTTTCGCAGGAAAACTCCCTTAATATTCCTCCATCTCTCTTAATTTTTACTCTCTTGTTTTTGCTACTGTGGTTAAAAATATGTAAGGGAAACACCTGTAAGGCATATGTTATTTCTTAACTAAATTATACGTGGTTTAAACTCATTAAAAGTATACGAGAAAGATAATCCGATATGATTATTGAATTATTGTATATAATAAGAATTATTAGGCAAAACCTCGAGGACAGAGAGAACTCATCTGTGAGTGAAGTGTATAATGATATGTAGGTTGAGATTCAGTGAAGATGTGATTGCAGTAGTTATGGTGGTGACTACAGTGGCTATGGTGATTGCAGTGGCTATGGTGGTGATTGCAAAGGTTTTATGGTGGTAATTGCAGCGGTTATGGTGGTGATTGCAGTGATTTTATGGTGGTTGCAGTGGTTTTACGGTGGTGATTGCAGTTATGGTGGTGATTGCAGTGGCTATTGTGATTACAGTGGTTATGGTGGTGCACTAGAACTACCTTCCTGGCTGCACTAGAACTACCTTCCTGACTGCACTAGAACTACCTTCCTGGCTGCACTAGAACTACCTTCCTGGCTGCACTAGAACTACCTTCCTGGCTGCATTAGAACTACCTTCCTGGCTGCACTAGAACTACCTTCCTGGCTGCACTAGAACTACCTTCCTGACTGCACTAGAACTACCTTCCTGGCTGCACTAGAACTACCTTCCTGACTGCACTAGAACTACCTTCCTGACTGCACTAGAACTACCTTCCTGGCTGCACTAGAACTACCTTCCTGACTGCACTAGAACTACCTTCCTGACTGCACTAGAACTACCTTCCTGGCTGTACTAGAACTACCTTCATGGCTGCACTAGAACTACCTTCCTGACTGCCCTAGAACTACCTTCCTGACTGATTTCCCAGTTTTTCCTCATTCTCTACCAAGCACTTTCCCCATACCTCCCCCAGTCAGTGTGTCATTAAACCCTTCACTGTCATTGAACCCATTAGTTTGTCACTGAGCCCTCTAGTGGCCTTCCTGAACCCTCCACTGAGTCACTGACTTCTCCAGTGTTACACTGAGCCTTTCATTATACTGTAGAGAGTTTCATTGAACCCTCCATTAAATCAATGAATCATCCAGTGTCACTGAGTTCTCCAGAGGGTCAATGAGCCTTTTTATTGTGTCATTGAACTTTTCAGTGAAATTTGTAGAATATGTATATAATTTTTTTCAATAAACCGGCCGTCTCCAACCGAGATAGGAACAACTCAAAAAGAAACACTTTCATCTTCATTCACTCCATCACTGTCTTACCAGAGGTGCGTGTATACTACAGTTCAAAACTGCAAATATCCCGACCTCTCCCTTCAGAGTGTAGGCACTGTACTTCTACCTCCTGAACTCAAGTCCGGCTAAGCGGTTTTCCCAAATCGTTTCATAAATGTTACCTTACACTCCAACAGCACGTCAAGTCATATAATCCACTTGCTTCCACTGTAATACGCTCACACACGCTTGCTGGATGTCTAAGCTCCTCGCACGCAAAACATCCTTTACCTCATCCCTCCACTACAGATTCATATGCCCTATTTTGTTTCGTCCTCTCTGAATGTCCGAACCATCTCAACAGCCCCTCTTCAGTCCCTTGGATAATACTTTTAGTAACCCTGCAGCTCCTAATCACCAAGCTATGAATTCTCAACACATTCACACCGCACATTGCACTCAGACACACTTCCTTTGCCTCCTGCCTCTCCTTGCTGCAACATTCACAACCTATGCTTCACACCGGTATATGAATGCTGGTACCATTATGCTCTAATACATTCCACGTTTTGCTTCCATGGATAACGTTCTTTGTCTCGACAGATTCCTCATTGCACCACTCACCTTTCTCCCCTCATCAATTCTATGGTCTACCTCGTCTTTCATAAACCCATCTACTGACAAGTCCACTCCCAAAAATCTGAGCACATTTACTCCTCCATACTCCAATTTGATAATCAATCTTTTATTACCTATTTTTTTTATTTGTTATCCTTATCACCTTGCTCTTTCCAACATTCACTTCAAATCTCCTTTTACATATCTTCCCTAAGTCATCCACCAGCGTTTGCAACTTCTCTTCAGAATCTCCCAAAAGCACAGTGTCATCAGCAAAAAAGTAACTGTGACACCTAATATGTATCATATTTGTAGAACATGTATCATGTAAACATATATTGATTGTTACTCTCCCTTGAAATCTCCCTGCAGACCCCAGGCAGGTAGTGACTAAAGCCAAGGTGTTCGTGGCCAACAACACAGCCTCCACCAAGGACGGTACGTTCAAGTGTCTTCTTTTTCTAAGCCAAATTTATTCTTCGTGAGAATATGTACAAATTTTTGTACTGGTATTTCCGCCTTAGTTTTATTTTTTTACACATGTTTGAGTTCGTGTAGTGTTGCTACCCGCACTGTCAGCATTATTATTGCACTCTGTCCCTTCTGCTTTTTTGTGCTCAAGTATATCTTCACTCAGTACTTCAGTCCTCCCAGTACTTTCCTCGTCGTATTAAAGAACAGGTGGACTGCTAACAGTTCTCATTCAATGAGACTATTATTATTTCATGTATGGAGAAGCATTCACCTCGTAATGGTCATCAAGCACCTGGGGAAAGGGAGGTAACCAGAGTAGTTTTCCAAGAGGTAAGTGTAGCTTCTATTCCTTGGTACAAAGTTCCATCACTAGACTCAGGCACACCTTTGACGATTCAGACATGTTTGTAAATTACGACAGGCAGAGTATGTGCATGCCTCCAACGCTGACCTGTCTGAAAACTGCTACTCATTAAACATGGGTGTTTCACTCGTAGGAAGTCCCGAGTTGATACTCCCATAGCTGCAACCGTTTTGTTTGTATATTATATAGCAGACGATAACTAGGGGCTTCCTACTCTTAAGCGGCTCCGAGTGCATTCTGTTAACTTGTGCAAGTTAACATCAAGAGAAAGTTAACTTGTGCAAGCTAACATCAAGAGAAAGTTAACTTGTTCAAGTTAACATCAAAAGAAAGTTAACTTGTGCAAGTTAACATCAAGAGAAAGTTAACTTGTGCAAGTTCTAATGTACCAAATTTATGAATCAAAAAAGTTTTTGTGAAATAATTGACGTCTCTTCTGTTTGACTTTATTTGGTTTTCCTACACAGGTTAAATAACCTTAATGGTCTTTGTGCCTATAATGTAAATAACACAAAGGCACAATACCGTGACTGGAACAATACACAAATAACCCGCACACAGGAGAGAGAAAAGCTCATGACATTTCGGTCCTGATTGGACGATTCACAACTCTCGCAAGAGTGTGACTTGTGACTGAGCCAAGTAGGACCGAAACGTCGTCATATGCCTTTCTCTCTTCCTTTGTGTGGGTTATTTGTGTATTGCCTATAATATGTGCCCTCAAGATTATTAAAAAAAAAATGGATGTTATGTACAGTAACCTTACATAAAACTTACTGTACTTTTGTTAAAATCTTCTCGATCATACTTACAGAAAAGTTTAGATTGATTTTGATCAGTGTTGATCCCAATTTGTTTTTTAAAGGAAACTGGAAAATTTTAACAACTGTTTTTCATGTGATCGTTTCTGAGTGTTGCATCTGATTGCTTCAACTTTTCCATGCTGCTAACTTGATAATGCAATCTCAGAGCGGCTTCAAAATTTATGTGCTTATATATTTTATATTCTTCCCTTCGGTCTCTTTGTAAGGTTAGAATTAGATTTGTTCTGTGTCCTAATTTCCCATTTCCATTGAAGAAATTTTGATATTAGTTTCCATGTGATATCTTGTGAAGGCCTCTTCTGATTAGATTCAAATCCTGAGCGCAAATAGTTAACTGCATTATCATCTTATGCCGCACTCTGCACTATTCCAGCCGCGTGGACTGAAGCACAGGGGACTAGGGTTATACAGTACGGGATCCGTAATACTTTTGCTATTGTATTCAGGAGGGGTGCTGAACCTACAGGGGTCATATAACACCTGGGAAAAGCAAGTCTATCGGGTTCGATCCAGGTAAGGGGAAAGTAGTTCTGATTCCTTATATTAAGAACTCTTCGCCGGCATTGATGTCGGCGAAGGTGAGATCAGATGCCACTCAGGAGGAAAGTAAATCAGGTCACTAACATTTCCTGATACTGGGATTGCCTGTCACCGAGTACTGAGCAAACTTCACAGAAAGGACTGCTCGAGCAACGACTGTCCTCTTTATCTTGTCCTTGCCTCTCCCCAATTTGTGTTCCCTCTTCCCTCTTCGCTCTGCTTTCTTAACTCTCAGTTCCTGGCTGATTCTCCTTGTAGCTTTGCCATTTTTATGTCAGTGTTTTTAACACATGTTCCATTTAATGGATTAATTATAGAGAGGCCATACTTATAATTTAAAGCATATTTGAAAGCTTTGTCAGAGATGCAGTTTCATTATAAAGTTTAAAATAATAATAATAATAGAGTTGCAGGGTAGAAGTTGGTGGATAAAAATTAAAATAGTATAAAATATCGACAAGTTGGTAAGTAAGACAGATGTTGTTTCAGACTATGGAACAAATATTCTTCTCCAGGCCGAGGGACTGACCACCTCAAAACTACGTTTTCAAGGGTGATGGACTTATTACATCGTCTTCATATCTCTACTACCTCTACCAACTTTTCTGTACTCGACTGAAGAAGCCTGCTGTGTAGGCGAAACGTCAAGGGAAAAAAAACCTAAATGTTGCACATGTGTCTTACTTACCAAGTGGTGGATATTCTGTAGGTGATGTTCGTTGCTCGTCTTCATCCCATGAAGATGGTCATAAGCACAAGCTTGGCTTGACTGACATCAGTATATTACTCAACAATACTGACAACCGATGCTGCCAACGATCCCTCGTGCTGGATCAGCAGTGGGTAATAAGCAACCGCCTCCGGAAGATTTTGAGATCCTGAACTGCTGAACGTCGGAATATCTACGCTTAATATGGTTGTTTTGTGTGTACTGAAGATGTGGTAGTGACAACGTTGAACGCGAAGAAAGGGATGTACAGAATAGAAAATCCAAATAATTCGAGGTTCAATTTCATAGTCTACGATATAAGACGATGTGACGAACTAGGTAGTAATATATGTGATGGTTGTGTGCAGGTGATACAACTGCAGTGAAAGTAATGGCTGACTTCGGAAACTTCACTTGAGAAAAACAACCGGGACAGAGAGCAGTGAACTCCGCTCAAGTAGTTGGCTTGAGGGTAACAGTGTAAGCAGCAGCAACAGCAGCAGCAGCAGCAGCAGCAGCAGCAGCAGCAGCAGCAGCAGCAGCAGCAGCAGCAGCAGCAGCAGCAGAAGAAGAAGAAGAAGGAGAAGAAGAAATTGATCAAGAATTATACAAGAAAGATGACTACGAATCCACAGCAGCGAAAAGAATCTTTGGAAAAGAAGAGAGTAAGAAATATATTTGCATCCTAAGGACTTTAATGGTGTAAGGAGAAAAGGCCAGGAAGATCACAAAATAAAGAAAATTTACAAAGTTTTGAAAGTCTAAATGAAAGAACTGCAATAAATTTCTTTTATTAATGATTTTTAGATGAACTTCACGAAAGTGATAATTTATCCATCATCGTCACTTGTAAAACTTATGTCGCCGTATTTCATCTCATCCTCCTGACAATTCCGACATTGGTGAATTCTCTAATTTTATGACTTCCCTCTTTTCAGTTTCTATAGACGCTATTTCGCGGGCCTCGGGGTACAACATTTTCACAGCTTCGTATTGTAGCTTCCATGACATTGCTGGAGTAAACCGTTGTAAACCTGATCTCTTGGTCGATATTATAAGCAGCTAGTCGTGCTTATTATCGTTCTTATTTTTCTTCATTGCGAGTGGTGGTGGTATTTTGGAAGTCAAGAAAAATGGGGGGAAAAGTGATGGGGAGGGGGGTCCTTCTGTGCAGCTTGAGGCCATTTGTCGAAGGTCTTTCGGCTGCTTTACCTGTCCACCATGAAGAAAAGTGGCGTCATAAATCAGTACGTCAAAATTTTCCCGCATGACTTAAAAATTAAGGTGAACCGAGTGTTGTATTAAAATTGTGGATGGATGGAGAGAGTGGGAAAAGTTAACAGGGAAATACTTACCTGGTCAATCTTCTGTACGTTTGGAAATCTCTCTCTCTCTCCCTCTGCTATGCTGTACTTCTAATACTGATGAATTCTGTAACAATCCATTTACCCTCTGGAATTTACTATGATTTTTGTTTGCTTAAGAGAATTAATTGAGCTCTGGAAACTGATGATATACGGGTTGCCATAATGCAACACTATAACTCCAGGAGTTACCGAGCTAGATATACCTTTAATCTCCAGTTATTACCACACCTTATAGCTATCCGAATCTGATCGGATATTTCGCTTCTGAATCTGATGGGATATTTAGCTGCACAATGAAGAGAATTTATATAAAATACCTACACGATGAATGAAGGAAGACTCAGTATTGTGAGATCCTTGACTGACAACGTTTCGCTTCGTTTATGTGCTTGTGTTTGCTATTCAGTTGGTTAAAATCATTCCCAGTTGACATTTTCTAGACCAATTTTACCACAGTTCAACTACAATTTGCCAGAGCTGTATAACCCTAGTGGGTTTAGCGCTTCTTTTTAATTATAATTGCAATTTATTTAATTAAAGAATTTAGTCAGCAAACGAAATTTATTTTTGAGTTTGTGTTTTTAATAATTATTCCATTATTTCGTATTTTTTGTGGGCTTTAAAAAAAAGGTGTGTGCACTCATTTGCAATAATTTTTCATATCAATTTATCCAGACACATACGCAAGTGTTGCCGTATTGGATTTTTTTATGGTTATTTCCATGAAACTGCATTATAAACTTTGAAAGTAAATTCACTTAGTTGATTTATTTAAGGGAAACTGGGATGACAGTGTATGAATTATAGGAGTATAGCCTGTTGAATACCGGCTCAAGTGTTATTATTGAATGAATTACTTAAAAGCGGGGCCGGATTACGGCATGGGTTTTAGGGGTTGCAACCCAGGAGGCTCCTCCAGCATGAGGGCCTCCAGGGGCTGCAACCCAGGGGCCTCCTCCAGCATGAGGGCCTCCAGGGGCTGCAACCCAGGGGCCTCCGCCAGCATGAGGGCCTCCAGGGGCAGCAACCCAGGAGCCTCCTCCAGCATGAGGGCCTCCAGGGGCTGCAACCCAGGGGCCTCCCCAGCATGAGGGCCTCCAAGGGCTGCAAACCAGGGGCCTCCCCCAGCATCAGGGCCTCCAGAGATTAATGAAAAGTGT